CACTAGGTAGCAGCACAGTCCAGATTCATGACAATGTAGGTAGTAGACGCACACGCTCATGTCCAGAGGCTGGTGTCAGTAGTCAAAATGGCGACCGTGCTTTCAGGAGTATATTACTGAGAAAGAACATTCTGTTGTGCGTTTTTATAGGCAAAAAACTCAGTGCAAAGGATGTTCATAAAGAAATGTTTCCTGTTAACGGTGGGAAGTGTTTGTAGCGTAAAGCGGTTCACAACTGGGAGGCAAACGATTCTCTGATGACGAGGTTGAAACGCAGCTGCCGAAATGGCTGAGACAGTTCAAAAGACTTCAAGTTGCGGGTTTTGACGCACTGGTAAAGCGATGGGACATTTGTATCAATGTTGGTGGAGGATATGTCGGGACATAGGTTTTTTTTCAGGTTGGAATATCACACTTTTGCGTTTTATTTATATTTATGCCCTATTTACTGACTCTGCCTCACATGAAACCAAACCCACACACACACACGCGCGCATTAATTTTATTAATATTATATTTGTGGCACTGAACGAAGAGTGACCTTGAGTGGTCAAGAAAATGGTCCCGACTTAATTGTTTTTATATTTGTGTTTATATATGTGATCATCGCAACGTATGAGAAGGTTTGGCGGTGCATGGTTTGAAAATGTGGCAGCCATCAAATATCTCTGAACGATAGTTAACAAAGCATAGTAACATTCACGAAGTCAAAAAAGAGCAAATTAAATTCGGAGAACTATGTTTCCAGTTTAGTTCAGAATGGTTTGTCTCTCTGTCTCTTATCGAAAAACCAGAGATTAAATTAATTTTGCCCCATGTTTCGTACAGATGCCCAACTCGCCTCAGATGATGATAATGAGCTTATTCGCACCTAGAATGTTGGAAGTAACGTGGGGTGTAAATTCGTAATGAGGAACTTAATATGCTTCCCCAGTATTATCAGGGTAATGAAATCGAGGAAATGAGATGGGCAGGGCGTGTAGTACGCGTAGAAGTTGTGAAAGGTACTTATAAAATTTTTGTTTGAAAGCCTGAAGAGAGGAGGCTACTTGGGAGACAAATGGTACAGTAATATTAAAATTAATTGTATGCAATGGTGTGGAGTGAATTCAGCTGGTTCCACTATTGGCAGCTTCCCTGGGATACCACTATATGAAATCCTCGTACTACATGGACGTCTTTTACGATGTTCCATTCACTTGGCCCTTGTCTTCGTTGCAACCACGAAGTTTTGGAAACTGGCTCCATTTCTTAGGCTTGACAATAGTTGTACCTTGGGTCCCAACTGAGTAGGGTTTTAAGACTACTGTTTTCTGGGAGGTGTACGCCTTGTGGTCCGGTACAAGTTCGCCGACGTTTCGGAGGAACATACTGCTTCCAGATTCCGAAAGGAAACCAGGGTTGATGATGGCTGGGCTATTTCCTAGATTTTGAAGACGGGGGAAATGTTTCTCCGAAGTGTCTGTGAAGTTATATCAGACTACACGGCATCACAGCTAAGAAGCGAATACTCTTCATAGTCACAGCTGCTGAGAACGTCAAATCCGAAATAGAACCAGCTTCCTAAACGAACTGTTTTGAAAAGATTGTGGCGAAGGACGAAGTAAAAAATAAGCTCCTTAATCAATTAAAAGCAGTTCGTTTTTATCAGATAATTCCGTTACTAATCCAGGGAGTGCGCCTTTGCATTAAGAAGTCATTAGATATTTACGTCTGGAACACATACCTGAGCGCAAGATGGCGTATTTCGCGCCGTAGTCTGTTGAGTACGGTGAACTGGACTGTAATGCAATGTACTCGTAGTTCCGAGAACGCGGTGAGTTTTGGAGAAACATCACCTGTTTTGCTTCCCACCTGCTTGCTGGTTCATTGTGTTGCTTAGCAGAAATTGTGCTTTTTCCTAACTGATGGCCATTTTGTGGATCTAACACATTCTGCTACAGCGATGTCCTTCACTCTCAAAGAGTGGTTAATGTGAATCACCATTATCACTCATGGTGCTGAGCCCTTCTTGAGAAGCCGCCAGTTGTGCAGCCACTCAAGAACTTCCCAGAGTTTTGTGGAACCCGAAGGTTCATTACCGTGTTCGCAAGAGCCCTCCACTGGTCCCTATCCTGAGCCAGGTCGATCCAGTTCATACCACACCATCCTGTCTAAGATCTTTTTTAATATTGTTCACCCACCTACGTCTCGATCTTCCTAGTGGTCTCTTTTATTCTGGCTTTGTCACCTCTGTCCCATCCGACTTCCTGTACTCCCACTAAATCCAACTTTTAGGAGTATATTGGCATTTGTTCTGCCCCTGTCCTGAGCGAACGTGCCCTATACATACTTCCAACATTTCAAGTACCAAATCTTATGCCCATGGGTAATGTGAATGAAGTTCTTATTTTTAACAATCAGAATGGAAGGTATTTTATGTGTAGGAATAAACCGAAATGGATGAATATTCTTTTGTGTATATTTAGACATGTTTTACACAACTTATATAGGTATATCCAGACTTCTAGAGCCACGAGTTTTTACCTCTTGTTTTAAAAACTCTCCTCTTTTGTTATTTGACACGCATCCTTGATAGGAATTAATTCCTGGTACAGCATTGCAGAAGCGTGTACCAAAAGCATGGAGTAATGAACTGATGCTTTAGAGCACAGTGGTAACTACGTATACCACGTACTTTAATGTTTGGATTGGTAATTGGATTTATTAACCACAGACTGTAACTACAAGTAACTAGAACGCTGTCGCTAATTCACACACTTTACAGTTCACTACAGCACGCACTAAGCCATTGCATTCTGCTGTGTCTTCACCAGTCGTCGGATAACGGCTTCCAGCTCCGTAGCTTCCTCAGCTTGTATCTGCAGCATTCCTCTGACTGACTGATAGCCTCGGATCGGATCCACTTGCATCATCTTTTCTATTGTCGCGTGACGTCACCGGGGACGTGACATGTTCCTCTGTTGGGTGTGTACGGGTCATTACCTAGCAACAGTTACAGGCTACAATACATTTATGTGTTTCTTATGATAGCTAATATTTCATAAACAGCATTAACCGGTTGGTCTTCGTAATGGAAACATGTTTCGTTTGATGTAGGAACTAGATTTCTAGATGAACTAAAAGATTCAAAGTGTTAAATGTGATTTATACGTGTAGTACGAATGCATTAATTTTGGAGACCCATCTTCCCTGTGAGCGAGGCAACGGTTTTAAGCCGAGAACTGTAATTTGCCTTTCAGTGCTTATACGATCTTTATGTAACAGATGAGGTTTCTGTTAGTTTCGTTATCACACGCTTGGGGATTGCTTTTAAGTGGTTTTGTGTTATAACTCATGCTTCCGTAAGAGGAAGGGACAAATGAGAACCGTTTTCTGCCATACTTGGACGTTGTGAAGCTGTTACCCATACAGCCAGTGCCCATGTCTTAATTCTGAGGCTCTCCGCTCGCTTGGTAGTGGTACATTGTCGATCAAAGCATGAGCGTAAGAGAGACTGTATGGTGGCTTGAAATGAACTCTGGGGTTCTGTGAGATGTGACGATATGTAATCTGGTAGATCTTTCGGAGGAACGTGCTGCTGTCAGTATTCTTTGCGGGATATAAAGCCGTGTAATCCGTTGAAATTCAGCCGACGTTTCGGAAAAGGCAGTGCTTTCCATCTGCTTTCACGCTATTTTATTGCTTGGCTTATTCTTTGACCCTGAAGATGGAGGCGATATTTTCTTCCGAATTTTGGCTTTCAACGGACTACACGGCATTATAGTCCAGAAGGTAGTATTCTGTAAGCACCGCTGTGATAAACTCAAATCGTACGCAGTATTCTTTATGGTTGATCCGGCTTTTCTGTCGCAGTCACTGAAGTATGATGATGGGTGGCAAAGATTTTACGCCACGCTGACGGTATGCAACTTGCACAATGACTCGTAATGGTTTTTAGCGGTGAATATACGAAATTTAAGACCCACAGCAGATTGCTGTATGATTAATTCTTCTTAAGATCTGCTGCCGACATAGAGGTGGCTTTGTACAGGATGATCCAGAAGAATAGTACTTTTTAACATATATTACATACTATATAATTTGATGAGGTCAATTTATCCTCTATAGCTCGAGTTTCGAGCGCTTTTTATCACTGCAGTGTTGTGGAATACATTAATGCTGTACCAACACTTCTTGCGTAAAGATTCTGGGTCACGTTTCTCCTAACCTTCAGAACTCAGAGAAACATATTGTGGCTTATAGATCCGTTGCTAACCAGTGACTGTGTAAACAACGTCCGTTGGTAGGTAATGCCTGCAACATGCACGCAACAATAGAAGAACGGCGTTTTCTGTTTGATTCGCGCCGCGACCGTTGCTATGCAATGGCGCGGTGAACACCTCTACAACAATAGAGGGACTGTATTTTCTGCGTGGCCCTTGTCGATGAGTTATCTTGAAGACAGTTGGCGCTATAGTTAAGTTGTGAGTTCAGGTGTGGGGTGTTAGCCAGCGGAAAACGGCATGGCCACGGAAGCCGAAGAATCTCAATTAAGATATGTTACCAAGCAACGACTAGCGAAAGCAGACTGAGAAGATTTGGCGTGGCATGCTTTTAGTGTGGAAATAGCTATAGTGTTATAGTTATTTGTAGTTACGACATGTAAGTGGTCAGTAAATCTATTCACCAATCCAAACCCCGTCTGTAGTCACATAAATCGTGACAATATCAAAGCGATAATTTCAGTATTTCTATCCTCTGAAGCCTCTTCCCAGATTTACTTTGTCTGAATGTATGAAGGTAATACATTAATCATCCTGCAGTTTACCTGTCCTGTCTTCCTGAATGTGCCTTAGACGCTGATTACGGATTGGTGGCCAACTTTGAACACTCTTATTTCAATTGCCGGTGTTCGAGGTTGAGTTTTGAATTCAACGCTGTGGACTTATTGCCGAGATCTGGCCACGATGGTGACTCCGGCCTTCAGGGGCCTACATATCAGAATCTTTTGTTTATAGGACATTGACGATGAGTGTCATCATAAGGCTTCAGAATCTGCCGTGGTCGGCGAACGCTCTGGACATCCGACAGTACTTCAGAGGACTCTCCATACCTGAGGGCGGTGTTCATATTGTAGGCGGAGAGCAGGGAGATGCATTCATTGCTTTCAGGTAACAGAAGAGGATGACAAACCTCACACTTATTTACTATCAAACAGATACATGAATTGAAAACAGCCAGGCTTCTATGAGGCCGCAACATTTGTTTCATTATTAGTAATTACACGAAGTGTGCACGTGTTTGAAGCTGCTTGAACACTAGGAGCCCTGAAAGCTGCTACTTTCATAACCCTTTCACTGCTCATTAATTAGCATCGAGCTATGCCCGCTGTGTAGATTTTTTTTATTTCCTACACGTGGAAAACGGAGCACCCGGTAGCATAGTTGGATGAGGCACTATGCTGCAAGATTGGACGTCGCAGGTTCGATTCCCGATGAGATCATTGGATTTTTCAGTTGACTTAATCTTTCCACCCACAATATAGCCCTGTGGACGACTCAGCCTCTAACAGAAGTGAGTAGCAGGAATCGTCCTGGGGGTAAAGGGCGGCTGGCGCGTAAGGCTGAACACCTCACCGCTATCTTTGAGCCGATTGTCTAGAAAATATGGGAGCCCCGACGGTCTCTTATATGGATATCTTTGCCTTTACCTCACTGCCATCTCTGAGCCGATTGTCTAGAAAATGTGGGAGCCTCGACAGCTTGTTACAGGGATGACTACCTCTTACATTTACCTTTACATGTGGAAAACAAAGACATTAAGTTATATTGCCATAATATATTACGAAGATGATCTGAGAATACTTGTGGGTGTCAGTTTTACTGTTTGTAATGGCCACGATCACGTGATGTACAGTGCATAACGGAATTCCCACTGTTAAATGCAGGTTGTTCTTATTTTAATAAAACTGGCCTATAGTAGCCGCTGAAATTTCTGACGTGAATATAAGAATGTTCATGACAGGTGGAAGTACATGTCAGGGAAGTCTGAATGCAATTAGAAAGTTAGTTCGTGAGAATCTTGTATTTAAGGCTCGCACTATTGCGCAGGCATAGCAAGGATGGCATAGTGCAAGTGCACGTAACATTAAAGCCCTTACAGTACAGACGTATATGTAACCCCGTAAATACTGCCGCCACTGTCCGATGTCTGAATGCTTGTGCAATATGGACGGGTAAGGCTCGAATGAGACTGCCTCAAAGCGAGGAAGTTACACACGAATTCCATATCAATGGTAAAAATGTGCAGTTAACTAACTACCTGGAGCTGAGCCAATCACGCAACTACTCGAGAACACTCCAACATTTTATGGAACCCGAAGGTTCATTACTGTGTTCACAGGAGTCCTCCGCCGCTCCATATCATGAGTCAAATTAATCCAATTCATACCACACCGTCCTATCTCTGTAAGATACATTTTAATATTATCCACCCACCGACGTCTTGGTCTTCCTAGTGGTCTCTTTCGTTCTGGTATTTGCACCAAGATCCTATATACATTCCTCTTCGGCCCCATTTGTGCTACATGCCCTGCCCATCACATCTTCCTTGACATGATCGTTGTAATTATACTGGGAGAAGAGTACAAGTTATGAAGCTCCTCCTTATGCAGTTTTCTCCAACCTCCCGTCATTTCATCTCTCTTAGGTCCAAATATTCTCCTAAACGCCCTGTTCTCAAACACCCTCAGTCTGTGAAGAATGCCGTCTTGTGGGATGTGGCGCTGTGTAGATATTTTGTTAAACGACGTTTCGGAGGAACGTATCGCCTCCATTTTCAGGGTATAAGAATTCAATAATTTGTTAAGTTCTTGAAAGAAAAATATGTCTAATGAGGCAAGCCTACCAAACTTGATACGGCTATGAAACGTGGTCATGAGTCCCACGGGACTCGAACATGAGAACTACTGCACTAGCGAGGACCATCAGCACCTGTATACGAGAGACCATCCTTTCTAACGAGAAGATGTTACATGAGGACTATAACCGCAAGTGTTCAATTGGAAAACAAAATTACTCTTCTCAAGGGGCTTGTTGCCGAGACGAACTGGTGGGCGGTAAACTGCCAGTCGTAAAGTAACTCTGACTCTCTGACATTCTTGTCCAGTGGTTGAGGTTAGCTCTTTCTAAGGTGTCTCCCACCCCTCACCTGAGGACGGAAACAGATCCAGTTTCCGAAACGTGTTTGCTAGCTTTTAGAATATGGGACGGTGGACAAAGTCAAAAAACACGCTAATTCTGAGGAATTCCTATGAATATTACGACCATTAATATGTTATAATGGTATCTCTGTTTATAAGATGCTAAGTATTCAATGGCTACTTAACTATGCTTGGCACCCGTTGAGGATGACAGCATAAGAGCCAGAACAAGTAGTGTGACGATGGATTTTAATTACACCACATTTTAATATTGTATGAGATGTTTTTGAATATATCAGAGTATCACGTAAGTACAGACACAACATATATGGGAGCTTCTTGCCAGAAAAAGGTCTTCTCTGCTCGAGATGTTGCAGGAGCCAGAACAGTCCGACGCTCTTCTGAAGTACACTTGAGCGCCAAGTTTTGGTGCTGCTATACTGTCGCCGTCACTACACAACAAAAGTTGCACTAAAACTTCGACATTTTACATAATACTGTATATGATACAGTGCCTAGGGGAACCGGTAAAGACATTTCCCTTGTCACATAGGGTCCAGAGCGTCTCTGGGGCCCACCCAGCCACATATCAAGTGAGTAATGGAGGTACTTCCCCGAGAGTAAGGTGGCCGGTGCGAGAAGATGGCCACTCGCCTCGATGGCGTGTCGCATACTGAAACACAGGGACTTTACCAGTACATCTTACGTAAATTATAAAGGTTTGATTACGTAGTGGTGGGGTTCATATCGTCAGTCCGAGGGAAAAATTGCGAATCAGTTGCTTCGCAACTTTACCTTTTCGAACGATAATGTAATGAATACACGTTGCGCATGCGCACTTCATTAATACCTATTGCTACTTCCTCCCATCCATAGAATCGAAGAACACGGCTTTATTATGGAATACTTCAAGGGCAGTGCAGCTACACTTTACGTCATCTTATAATTTGACTTCTGTAATAATTGAAAATGTTTGGAGTAGAACATACAGGATGTTTCATTTCGCAAGACGTCAGTGTCGGTGAGGCTGCAGTCATGCAGCACGCGGAGAGGAGAGCTCTTTTTGTCGATTTGTCATTTCAATAACAGACACGCATGCAATTCCTACATAGAAATATTTATACTTCCCCTTACTGTTTACATGCATTTACGATGAGAGAAAAGTGAATACCTTGCTAGCTTCAACTCTGCCCTTGAATGTCTATGGACTTGGTTCCCACAGATTCAGTTTTCCGTCTTATTATGTCATATTTTCAAGAAAAGTTTTTAGAAAATACTCATTAAGTTCTCCATACCTGCCTGTCGTCCACATGTAACAGTTGAGAACCGTCGAAGTGATATTTGTGAAATCTGATATTGGAGATTTCTGTTTTGGTTAAAGTCAGGGTGTAATAAGGGAAACTTTACATAGCCACTGCATCTCCACACATCCCGAGCTCAGTGCACCGCATCTTACGCCGTTTACAGGAGAACATCACAAGTTAACATTCACGGGCTGAAGATCCGGAGCCGTTACGCAGAGCGTCATTTCCTGACTCGTTTCTATTACGAAACGGCCATGTGGCACGTTCTGCTTCCGAATGTTTGTTGAGTAAAATTACATTAGGCCCTTACCTCATAATTCCTGATGATTTTTTTTTTTTGAGGGGGGTTATTTTATTCGGTTCAACGTTAGATAGAGAATTATTTGTTGAAGTTCACATGTGTATCAATGTACATTTCTTACCAAACTCAGGTCGTGTCATATCTTCAGCGGTTAGTCGCCGGCTCCCCACTGCGTCGGCCCGAGTGGACGAAGTGGCACTGGGACGTTTTTCTTCGAGTTCTTTGGTTGCCTCTGACAATTCTCATTCTGCCAACTGTCCCATATTCATTAATGATCCTATCATCGACGTTGTATAGTCTCGGTACTTAAATAACTAAACTTACTTATTGAAGGTAAAACTATCCCAGTAGTAGGCCGAGGAGGCCCATCGGGTTGTGAGACGTAGAGGCTCCCACATTTGCTAGACAATCAGATCACAGATGACGGTGAGGTTGTTAGCCTTGAACGCCGGGGAAGATTCCTGGTACTTATTTCTGTTAGAGTCTACCCCAGGGTAGAAGGATTAGGTCAATTGAGAAGAATCAAATGACCTCATCGGAGATCGAACCCGCGACGTTCAGGCTTGTAGCATAATGCGTCCACCAACTACACTACCGCGTGCCAGTCCTAAACTTACCTACTGCTGAAGATAACGTAGCCGTAAAGTATTCATGTTGTTCACGATAGATGCATCAACACAACAGTTACGAACACATGGAGTTCACATGAAAGACTTCTGCAAATTACTTATACGTGTAAGTAGGGCCAGTAGTGCCGAAGGCTCCGAGTGACCTTTAATGTATGTATAGAACAAGGCATTACTTACGTTTAGCAGTAAATTTAATATACTTACCATTAACTAGTTCACTCTTAAAATTAATCGTAACCTACCCTAATTATGACGGGATAGTTGAGTAGAGTGACTTGCTACATGCTGGACGACCGAGGATCCGTCCAGCCTCCTGTCCACTTAGTACCGGGGTCTCTTTTCTCGGGGTTAAAGCGGCCGGTGCCTGAAGGAGAGCACTCAGCTCCATCCAGTGCCGAACTTAAGAATGCATGGAGCTATACGTCCAGTCATAACTTTACGTGGTTTGGTGCTTAATTAAGCTGAGGGACAACTTAACTTTTACCTACCATGTTAATTTTGTGAGCAGTTCGTTATGTTTCAACAAAATATGACTCAGTACTGTTTGGCAGTAGTGCCACAGATGTGACATTGGTCCGCGTTTTGGGGGCCAGGCAGTTGTTACCGGGACTTGCGGCTCTCTAACGGTGGCTGTCCGCACCGCCTCTGCTTGACATTGAAGTGTCTGGGAAGAACTCGCTAACCTCCTTATAGGTTTCGTTGTTGAAAAATTATGGACATACAGGGTGTTTCACGACTCTAGGGCATAAGTGCAGCAGGTGATTTCCTAGGTCTTTGTGATCAAAAAAGTTCATATAAACACGTGTCCGGTTTTGGACGGTTACGGAGTTATGACCGTTTTTTCATTCCCGTACACGCCCTCATGTGAACCACGTCTGTCACCTGTCGGGTCGCTATTTTGAGCCAGCTACAGCCAGAGCGTTCTCGTTATCTCGACATTTGAGATGTACCTAAGGGTTGGTATGTCCGGTGCGGTTCACATCCGAGCGGCAGCCTGTGTTGCGGCCGGCGGTGGCATTTTCGAAAATCAGCTTTAAGCACCAATAAATTCAAATTAAAGGAAATTTCACGAAGTTAACTTTACATTCAGACTTTAAATGTACCATGTATTATGCTGGTTTATTATTTTGTTCCGTTTATTGTCAGTAATCGTTACCTTCTATTCTGAGTTTAAAATGGTCATAACTCCGTAACCGTCCAAAATCGGACACATGTTTATATGAACTTTTTTGATCACAAATACCTAGGAAATCACCTCCTGCAGTTATGCCCTAAAGTCGTGAAACATCCTGTATATCATGGGGTGGCCCTGCACTCAAAGAGTCGTTTCACTGCCATAGTAACGCTCTGAAATCCTCTAAAATGTAGAAGCGTATTCTAGAAACATGTCATGAAGACATGTTGGGGAGTTGAGGTATAGCTTCACCATTCTTGACCTCAGCACTAAATGGAGATGAGTGGTCAGTTTCACGCCTCTGCCACTTTTCCCCGGGGTAGCAGTCTCCTGTACCCATTGGATATAAGGCTGGGTGGGCCCCAGAACCGGTCTGGGAGTGAGGTGTGGATTGTAGATACGTAGCATGCGCGTGAAATTTTATGTGATACGTCTTAAATGTAACCAGTGTTGCTAAGCGGCCGTCTTGAGCTATCACCCATGTTCATTCTTTCCCTGATCCAAGTGCTGTAGCTTCATTAATGAGGGTTAGAAGACAGATATATCCGGTGCTACGCGACTTTTAGGCTTTACCCCGATTTGAGCGACTCTCGTATTGCTGGAAAACGTCGCTTCCAGCATGGCATGTCTTGTGTAGGCCTAACGAGTACAATTGGAGAGTTACACGGCTGATCGGTATTTTAAAACAGATTTAGTTTTTTTAGAAAAAGACCGCCTCTGTGGTCTAGTTGTCAGAGTTCCTGTCTACAGATCCAGAAGTCCCGGGTTCGATTCCCGGCACGACCAGATTATCTGAGAAGTAATGGTTCTGGAACGGTTTTCCCTCAGCGTCATGAGGATAATTGAGGAGCTGTTTCAAGGAAATAGCGGCTCCGATCTACAAAACCGAGATTAACGGCCTTGGGGAACCGTTGCGCTGAACACGTGACACCCTCTATCCGCAAAAGTTGGCACTAACTTCGCGGACAAGCGGAGGTCGCTCGATCGGTATAGTTCGCTTGCGGACTATAGGCCACGGAGTTTGTTTTGTTGTAGTGATAAAATTAGCACTATAATAACAGAAAAGACATGCAGCTGTTGTTGAAGTACTATTTCTGTAGAACGTAACAAAACATGGCCCTCCGTTTGATGCTCATAATGAACTGTCGAAGATTTGAGTGTGAAATTTTGCATAGATTATAAACGTAGTGTAATGTATTTTATGAGATATTTGTATTTTTCGAGTGTTCAAATTTTGCAAATACACCTGCGGGGTTTTTTTATTTTTGGTTGGGTAAATTGTCTTTGACATATCGGTACTAGTGGAAAATGTGCCCAGAAATGGACGACTGGATAATTTAGTTCTTATATAAAACGCTAGAAGGCGTGAGGGTAGACAGGGGAAGTCTGTCTGTTTACAGCGTTCAATTGGCTTAGAATAGGGGTGAGAAACTAAGGCTAGCAGACCGGAAGTGGCCCACGATTAGATCGATCCCTCCTGCAGTGATGTTCAGGCTTTAGTAACAACCCTCTGTTAGTGGTTATTTTCTCATATATATAATATGGAAAGATCCGATCACGGTGGCCGTGCAGTCTAAGGCATGAACTGTCTTCGCTCGCTCGAATGCTGCGATGGTGGGTTCGAATACCACTACTGTTACAGAAGTGTGTTACTGAGGCATTCATGCAATATTATATTTAAGCATCCTGTTACACTCACACAATGCTATATGAGACAAACTCCGTCTTAAGTGCAACAATTTAATTGTAATTCTTTCTTCTTTCCTTCCTCTACACTACATGTTTCGGCCCTAAATGGCCATCATCACGTGTATATTCTTACGTAGCTGCTACACTGTACGTAGTTTAAAATTTAAAACACCAGTCTTTCCAATTGTATGTATAAAATCTTTGTTAACCTACACACGTCAATTTGATTTCCAAAATTGGCACTTTTTAAAACTTCAGTTCAAATTAAAATGTCTTTAAATTTTCCGTTCTTTTTCTTTTTCCAAATTTTAAAAATTAATTAAAATTTCTCGGAGTACTCGCCCTATGTCTATAGTGCTGCAGCGGCCACATCTTGTATTACGTATTAAAGATAGGCAGCGGCACACGCACAGAGAGCCTACACAGAACAGTACCTGAACAGCGATAAAACAATTGTTGCACTTAAGACGGAGTTTGTCACATATATTGCATTCATACAAACTGAAAAAGTGGCAAAGTTCCCAAAGTCAGTCCTTGATTCTCTCAGTCATTGTGTGGTACTATTCTGTAAGCCAAAGGTATGCCGCGTCATAGCTGAAGCGGTTAGTCGCTGGCTTCCCACCGCGGTGACCAGGGTTCGAGCCCGGGTCTGGACACGTAGGATTTGCGGTGGACAGAATGGCGCTGGGGCAGGTTTTTTCTCCAAGTATTTCGGTTTCCTCTGCAAATCTTTATTCCACCAATTGATTCACAATCACTATCATCTGTCATCTAGTGCGGGTACAATAGGCCAGTAGTGGCCGCAGTACCAAGTGGACTCAATCTCACTCCACTAACCAAAAAACTAAACTCCGTGGCCTTTAGTCCTCAAGCGAACTATACCGACCGAGCGACCACCGCTTGTGGATGAAGTTAGTGCCAACTTTAGCGGATAGAGGGTGTCGCGTGATCAGCGCAGGGGATTCCCACGGCCGTTAATCTCGGTTTTCCAGACTGGAGCCGCAATTTCCTTGAAATAGCTCCTCAGTTATCTTCACAAAGCTGAGTGGACCCCGTTCTAGACCTACTGCTTCTCAGAAAATTTGGTAGCGCCGGGAATCGTAGCCAGGGCCTCTGGATCTGTAGCCAGGAACTGTGACCACTAGACCACAGAGGCGATAACAAATAATAATAAATAATAAGCCAAAGCTATTGCATTAATGGGTAATAAAATGATTCCATATGCATAGAATCTTCTCCTGTATCCTATATGGGAACACTGTGCAAGTGGCAACCATTTTATACTTAGCACTATTCTCTGCCATGTCAGTACAGATAAATTATATGTGGGTATATCGGGCAAGGCAGTTTTGATTCACTTCATGCTGTTAGCCCTTTGAGAGCCATGATGGTGTTTCTCTCAAGTTACAGGACCCTCTGCTTCTATGACATCTTGGAGAGATAGGGTTACAGAAGCAAATTTTGACATATAGATACTAGATGGTTCTGACGATGGTGTATAACACTCGAAATTACTGGATTTTTGGACTTCATCCATCATCTGATATTGTAAAAACTAGAGAACACAACGTTTCAGAAACTGGAACTGTTTCCTTCCTCAGGTGAAGAGGGGAGGCACCTACCCTGTTGGGTCCCTTAGAAAGAGCTGATCTCAATCACTGGACAAGGCATGGGTTTATCGGTTTCATATCCAGTTTCCGAAACATTGTGATATCTAGTTTGTAGAATACAGGATGATGGACAAAGTCCGCAAACCCAGTAATTCTGAAATTTTGACATAGTCTGGTTACGATTGAAGTTACTAGTTACAGGTCTTAACAACTGGCAGCACACTAATTTTTTTTATAAAAAGAGATCTAGTATGCAATTAAAAGTGCTATAGTATATATTTATATATGTAATTCTCCTGTGTTGTGTATAGCACAGCCACAGGGAACTTGAATATAAACTGACACCTTCTGAATGTAACCTGTGAAAGACGTAGTTCTTAATTGCAAATAATCATAACGTGAGTGTAAAATGGTAAACTGCTCAAGGCCAATATTCTGGGAAAATCATCCTTCAGAGCGTAAGCTGTTGTAGGGCCTGACCATAATTCAGTGGATGAAAATCGCTTGACACAGAGCTTGCAGTTTTGATCTTGTAAGTGATCACTTAGTAAAGTAAATATTGCTTTCTTTTTATAGTACTGATGAAGATGCGCGACAGGCGATGATGACAGATGGCGGCAAGATCAAAGAGGTGAAGATCAAGCTGCTACTGAGTTCTCGGGCTGAGATGCAGAAGGTGATAGAACACGCTCGCCAGCAGTCTGTGACTCTACAGAATTTCATGCAGATGCCAGCTCCTTCTCTGACTCCAACAACTTTACCAGTGCATACACTGCCAGCAGCCATACTAAATCAGATTCCTGCCATCACTGCTGGTGCCACAGTGCCCACAGCAGCTACTGATGTGGTCCAGCCATCCCCAGTGTTGTCTGACAGGAGAGATTCCCGAGAGGCAGAGCGTGACAAGAAGGATACTGACAGTGTCAGTAGCAACAGTAAAGACAAGAAGGACAGAAGGGAGAGGTCCCGTTCCAGAGATGGAGATCGCAGGGACCGCAAGGATCGGGACCGTGACAGGCATAGGGATAGAGACCGTGATCGTGATAGGCGTCGCCGTGACAGAAGCCGCAGTCGTGATCGCGACAGAAGGCGCCGGGACAGACGAGACCGTAGCAGATCAAGAGATCGTAGTCGTTCCAGAGATCGTAACAGTCGAGACAGGGATCGTGATTCTAAAAGAGGTTCACGGGATGTGAAACGGGACTCTGTTACTCCTGCTAATGAGCAGGACAAACCCAAAGATCAGAATGGGGATGTAGTTTTGATATCCCAATTTCCACAAGGAAATGAGCGCATGATGAACCAGGGCAAGTTACAAGATTGTTCTGGAAAAGGAGGGCCATCCCAGCCTGGCTCAATGAATGCTGGCATGTGGGACATGCAGACAGGCCCTATCATGGCAAACAATATTAGTGGCTTTAAGCCTGGTGGAGGAAACCGCCCCACACAAATGCAAATGGATGTCAGTTCTGGGCGAGACTTGGATGGAAGACGACTTATGGGAGGACCCAACTTTCCAGGTGATATGATAAGAGCTCCCATGTCTGGAAACCTTTCTATGGGGAGTGCAGAATCAATTCAGAATTCATACCTGAGAAATGAAGGGTACTTGGGAGGTCGGGATTCTGGCATGCCTTTACGTGGCCGAGAAAGCTGGCCTCCTGGACGACAGCCTGGGGAAATGGGTAGATTCTCACGAAATGAGAGGGTTAGTGGTTACCCCCCAGGCCAGGGAGGATACAATGAAGCTGATGATTATGATGGACATGGAGAAGTGGAATCAAGAGGATTTAGAGGGAATTACAGAGGTATGGGAGACTTCAGGAGAGGAGGATTTCCACCAAGGGAAGGCAGAATGGGAAGTTTGGCAGGAGGAAATCTGATAGATAGGATGGGTCCAGGGGGTCTCATGCAAAATGAAGTGGATGAAAGAAGAGGTGGGAATGCATTTCAGCCAGGTGACAGAAGAAACCAATTTAGAATGGACAGAGGTGAGCAGGATTTTGCAAGAAATGATCGTTATGTCGACCAGTTTGGAAGAGATCAACTCAATGATCGCTACCCTGGAAGACCAGGCACATTTCCTGGAGATAGATTTCAGAGAGACAGATTTTCAGGTGGTGATAGAAACTTTGAACCTAGGCCTGAAATGAGACAAGCTACTGGTACTGCCATTGAGCTCCGCAATATGCCAATTGAGACAGGTTATAATGATATTCGAAGGTTTTTCCAGGGACTACAGATAGCTGGCAATGGTTTGAAATTGATCAATGACAATCATGGGAATCGGGTTGGAATAGCTTATGTGAGGTTCCTGAAGCAGGAAGACAAAGACGAGGCTTTGAAATACACAGGAAAGATGATACGAGGGTCCATGGTTGAAGTTCTTCATCTTAATGATGAAATCTTTGACAAAGCTATTGATTCATACAAACCACCCCAGGAAACAGAATCAGTAGGAGAAAACCAAGAGAAAAAAGAACCAGAAACCTTTGTATGTCTCTCTGTTAAAGATTTGCCTCCATATGCCAAAGAACAGGACATTATTAAACTATTCCAGAATATTCCCATAGAGGAAATTGTTATGTTTGTAACCAAAGGTGATACAAAGCAGTATATGGCCTTTATCAAATTTAAAAAACCCGAAGATGCAAAGAAAGCTCTGTGTTGCAATTCAAAACACACAGTTGGGCACAAATCAGTCACCATTGCAGTATGTTCAGAGGAAGAGTTCCGGGAAGCAAAGGAAAACCAGAACAGAATGGTTGAAGCAGAACCCGAAATCAAGGAAAAACCTTCTCCTGATGTGAAGGAGAAATTGCAGGACTCAAAGTCACAAACCCAGGATCCTCGCAGTCATGGTGGTACAATAGAACAACCTGTCAAGGAGCCGCCAAAAGCACTACATCCTCCTACAGACTGTGTACTCCTTAAGGGTTTACCAGTTAATGCAAACGATCGTGACATTCTGGATTTCTTCTCAGATGTTGGCTTGGTACCACTACGAATTCATATTATGTTGGATAAATTCAATAAACCCACTGGAGATGCATTTTGTGAATTCAGCAACATGGAGGAGGCAGCACGGTCCTGTACGAAGAACAACACGCCTCTTGGGAAACAGGATATAATAGTGCAGGCAGTCCTGAGGGAGGAAATGAATGAAGCCCTGGGTGTTGTATCACAGCCTGAGTTACCAGTGCACCCACTGGGCCTCGCTCGACTACAGCATCCAAGGGACTTCCATAACAGGTCCATGGGTTTATTGGGAGTCTCACCTGGACCTCTTCTGGGTCGCATGCCACTCTTGAGGCGACATCCTGGTTCCATGCAATCTGGTGCAGTTCAGTCACAAGTTACTCCAGTTGAAGGTTTCGGGAAGCCAGGCTGTGTTGTCGCAGTGGAGAACATTCCATTCAGAGCTGACATTGACGAGATCCTAGAATTCTTCGTGGACTTTGACGTAAGTCGTGAAAGTGTTATACGACGCTTCAATGACAAAGGTATGGCCACAGGAGATGCACGAGTGGCATTCATAAACCCATCTGAGGCGCAACGAGCCATCAGAGAACTCCGTTTTCATAAGATTAGGGGGAGACCTATTTACTTAAGTCTCCTTTAATGCCTATTACAGAGTACAATCCAGTAGGAACATAGTATTGAGTTTTGTAAATGTGCGTTTGGAATAAATGTACATGTATATACATATATGTAGAATTATTACTAGCAACTGACCATTTCTTTTATTACAGCAAGAAAAATATGTAAATGAGGCAGTCACTTATGTATGCATATCAGTAAATCAATGATACTTTCTTTTGTTAAATCAGTGTTCTTTCATATGAACCTACAACCCAGTTTCAGTTATACTTGCATTGTTTGAAATGGAAACATAAGGATGAAAAGACTCGTCTAACTCATGAGTTCTTAAGAACCTGGTACTTGCTCAGATGGTCGGGAAATTCTGTGTTTTTCGTCACAGAGTTTAAGAGTCCATTTATGAACCTTATCCACATGAATTCAGTCCACATCTTCATACCCTATATTTTAAAGATCCATTATAATATTATCCCCCAATCTACACTCCAGTACCCAAGTGATCTCTTCCCTTCTGGTTTCCTGCCTAAAATTTTATATTCATGTTTCATCTTCCCCATATATGCTCATGCACCCGCCATACTTCCCTTCATTTGAGCACTTTAATATCCATGGAGCAAATCACAGTGGTGATGTACATCTGGGTTTATTCTATGTTTGTGTTGTTTTGTGATGGGCTGATCCCCTGTCCAAGGAGATTTACCGACTGTGTAGAGGATAAAGAAAGAAGTGAAACAAAGTGTTTCATGTATGCCCTATGCTCCAAAGTGGTATCAACAACAAAGAGAGAGAATATTCATAGAAAAATGCATAGTCTTGTTCTGTTTCAGCTGCACACATGTCCCATAGACCTTCCCATATCTCTTCTAGTTATATTTAGTAAATTCATTTGATAATGACTTCATTGACATCTACTTTGTGGGGGGACTAGAGAGTGATTCATTCATTCATCAGTAATCTGTCAAGACGACAGGTCCACAGTCTCTTCCAAAACAATTCCTCCACTTAATGAGATCTAGAGCTTTCTCCTTCAAATGACAGTATCCTCTTCTGTCCCCAAGGTCATCCAGCATCTTCTTACGTCTTCTACCTTGTCTTCATGTCACTTCTATCCGCCCCTATATCTTTCCTTCATTAACTTCTTTTAGAAGGCAGTTTCTGTGTAAAACATGACCAATCCAATTAGCCTTCCGTTTTCTTATTTCGTGTAGGATATTCCTCTGCTCACTGACTCTAATTAACACTTCTTCATTTCTTACATAATCGGTCCAACTGATCTGCTCCATCCTTCTCCAACGCCACATTTCGAAACTTTCCAGGTGTTTCTGATCTACTGCCCTAAGTGTCCATCTAGAGAATGAAGGTGGTGAAAAATATATCATTTGTGGTGTGTACTGGTCCCAAGCGGGATACAATTTCCAGTATATAGGAAACCAACACTAACTGATATTATAGTAACAAATAGTTCATGCCATCCATATGAACAAAACCTATCTGATTTTAACTTCCTACTAAATCGATTATTCATGTATCCGATAACTGGAAACCCAAAAGACACGGAAAGGAACACCATCAAAAAATATTTATATATTTATCTTAGTTCATAATGGTGGGGCACATGGTAGTATAGTTGGCTGAGGCACTATACTGCAAGCCGGAAGGTTGCAGGTTCGAGTACCAGTGAGGTCAATGAATTTTTCAATTTACCTAAACCTTCCAGCAGCAATATGGCACTGGGGTTGACTCAGCCTCTAACAGAAATGAGCACCAGGAAGGTTCGTGGAGGGTAAAGGGCGGCCGGCGCGTAAGGCTGACAACCTTACACGCCATCTATAAGCCGATAATCTAGAAAATATAGGAGCCTTCACGTCTCACAACCCTATGGCCCTTCACAGACCGTTACACGGACAGCTTTACTTTTTAGCCATAATGAAGGTTGTTTACTGAATAGTGAATTGAAAAGGATTTGAAAGGAAGTTGCCGCAGTGTAATTTTAGGTACCGTGAGGTACTCTGCCTTGAGGGACTGAGGAAATCCACGGAAACATCAGTCACGTTAACTTTTCTGCTGGCCGAGACTAGAACGTTTGAAGGACGAAGCATGAGCGAGCCCATTTGGACAGCCTCATTTTGTTGGGCACAACACAATAGCCCGTTGAAATCTACGTGCACACACGTGGTACTGTGATTCCGCAGTTTCAGTTCTGAGCTAAGCTGATACATATTTCATTCTACTGTGGTCCTGAAGATGGCGTCTACCGCTACTCCTCGTCTCTGCAGCTCATAGTCTGTTGTCACATCTCACCGCCCAAATTTCGCCACCATAGGCGTCATACGGAAGAACTTTTGCATTACATAACCTCGATATTTTTTATTGCTTTCAAGAACGTTATTAGGAATGTAATTCACGAAGGATCATATGGGAGGGACTTGTAGTCTCTTTTAGTTACTTGGGGTGCGGTGAGACTGAGTCCACTTGGTACGTTGGCCAATATTTGGTCTATTTTACCAGCGTCGGATGAGGGATGAGTATGGAGCAGTTGGTGGAATAAGAATTGGCAGGGGAAAGAAAATTATTCGGACAGAACCTGCCCCAGTGCTACTTTGTCCATCACAAATCCAACATGGCTTGACCCGGGCCACCACATTGATAAGCCGGCGACCAACTGCCTGAGCTATGGAACGGCCAGTGGCGTATGGGAGAGCTGAGATATATACATAAAATTTTGGTTTAAGGCTGTGAAAGGAAGACCTAGGTGTAACTGGGAGTAAAAAGGTAAAAGGTAAAGTTGCTTCTGTGCTTAAATAATTAACCACTACGCCATGAAGGTGTATGGGGGGAGTGGATGTACAGAGTCGCATCATTTTGACCTCTGCATTATTTGGAAAAAAGTAGTCCGCTTTACCCCCGGGGAAAGAGCCCCCGGTAACCATTGAATAGGAGGCTGCATGTACCCAAGAGCCGGTCTGGACGACAGAAGAGAAAATTTTTGACCCTACCGGTACTTGAACTCTGACCCCTCGGTAGTCCAGCCCGTAGCCAGTCGCTATACCTACTGCGTTATCCCGGAGTATATTATTGAAATCTTGGAGAAATAGTGTGTAAGGATGTTGATTGAATTGATCTGGCTCGAATAGGTTTTACTGGAGGGCTGTTGTGAATGCGGTAACGTATCTTTGGGTTACAAAAAAGGCGGGAAGTTTCTGTGAGTGATTGTTGACTTCTGGAAGAAGAAATGGGTTACGCTGTGTTATGTCATGGCCCCAATATTTGTAGAAAGAAGTGCTGGTATACGAAACTACGGGATCTGTGCTCTTCTCGAGGCACGCAAAAGTGTTTGCTGTAGATTCGTTGCTCTTCTTATGATCTTGACGCCGTGCCATGACGGAGGCAGAGTAAGGAAGAGGCAATTAATCATACAAGATAAACAGGAAGCAAACAATGAAGTACGAAAGATGATAATATTTTTATGATGCAGGCCTCTTCATACGCCGCCTGCGGTGGGTTCAAAATATGAACAGATACGGAGGAGAGCCCCGAGGCTATATAACGCGGACCCCAGGCCGACTAAGGGAGTTCAGTTGCGGAATATTCGCCGGACAGTAACGACGTGAGCACAGAAGCTGAAGAATCTTCATAGTTAAGATCCGTTACCAGGAAACGACTACTGAAAGTTAACCGAGAATACTTAGCGTGTGCCCTAGTGATTTGTAAAGTATGTGGATTAGCGATAGCGTTATAATTGTTTGCAATTCCGAGTCGTGTGTATAAGTGGTCCGTCCAGGTCCTTAGGTTTTGTGTTCATTTTCGTAACGTGATTATTTTTTACGGTGAGGAGTTGTGAGCCCCACGCCCAACCCCCAAGCTGGAGGACCACCCCTTGTCGGCTGTCCGCTACTGCTTATTCGATATATTTTCAGCTTCCCTACATACCTGGAGGTCGTCTCCTCCATCCGCAACCTGAGGATGCGCCATGCCGTGGTGACAAGGGACCCACCTAACATGGCCTGAGGGTGTTTGAGAACAGGGTGGTGAGAATATTTGGACCGAAGAGAGATGAAGTGACAGGAGGTTCGAGAAAACTGCATAATGAGGAGATTCATAACTTGTTCTCTTCTCCGAGTATAATTAGAATGATCAAGTCAAGGAGGATGAGATAGTCAGGGCATGTAGCACGAATGGGGAGGAAGAAGAATGCATATAGGATATTGGTGGGAAAGCCAGAAGGAAAGAGACCACTGAGAAGACCAAGGCGTAGGTGGGTGGACAATATTAAAGTGGATCTTAGAGAGAGAGGATGGGATGGTATAAATTGGGTTGATCTGGCTCAGGATGTGGACCAGTGGAGGACTCTTGTGAATACGGTAATGAACCTTCTGGTTCCATAAAATGCTGGGAAATTCTTAAATATCTGCATAATTGGCGGCTCCTCAAGAAGGGCTCAGCTCCATGAGTAAGTAAGTAAGGGTATAAGTGGTCAATAAGTCTATTCACTAATCCAGACCCCGTCTATAGTCACACATACGAGTTTACATGATATAGTAGATATAGTAGAAGATTTTAGTGTGATTTCTTCTCTTCAGTTTTGATTTCCTCATCAAAAATCCATCTTAGGGGCGGTGTCTGTATTTCTCCTCCCTTTCTGCGGGCGCCCATTCACCTGGAGTTTGTTCAGTGCACAGTTTTATCTTCCCAATCCGTAACAACTGACCATATATCTCTGTATGGATATCCATAACTCCATGGCCCTTTGCCTCCTACAACTGCATACATTTAGCCTGCGTTTTCGGAACACCGCGAGAATGTTTCTAATGCCAAAATGGGTCGTATTAGAAGAGCGAAAATTGTAAATATGTATCATAGCTCCAATTTGCAGTTCGTCTTAGCATCTGATATTTTTGTCTCCTGTCACATAAACAGAGGAGTCGAGATAGCTCAGTCGGTACAGCGACTGGCTACGAGCTGGACGACCGAGGGGTCGGATTTCGAGTGCCGGTAGAGTCAAGAATTTTCTCCACATCGTCCAGACCGGCTCTGGGGCCTACCCAGCCTCCTATCTATTGGGTGCCTGGGGCTCTTTCTCCGGTGGTAAAGCGGCCGGGGCGTGAAGCTGACCACTCACCTACAACTAGTGCCGAAATCATGAATATGTGGCTCTATACATCCACTTCCCCATACTCCTTCATGGCCTAGTACTTAGTTAAACACAGTGACAACCGTACGTTTTCC